TGTAAAATAATGAAGGCTTTTTCCTAAGACTTCTTTAATCTTGGGTGTGCTCTTTACTCTATGGCTAGTTTATAATGAGATCTGGCCTCTCCAAGCATGATCAGGTGAAAAATATTTATTGGGTCTGAAATATTTTTGCCCTTGGGGAAACATTATGGTGCAGAAATTAACTTAGCAGTTTTGGCCAAATTTACATTGCTGCCCATATTTTCCTAGGAAACACTCTGGACTCTCTAGTCCTCATGTAATGTCTGGATGCTTTGAGACACAGAGATCACTCCAAAGAAGGGGTTGCTGTCACAACCTCAAGTACGTCTTCTAGCAACATGAATTTATTTCTACTTTTCAAGGGATACCAAGACATTTGAAGGGAATCACTTGCACAGGTCTTGGAGAGGGCCATGTGCTCTAATGCCTACAATTTCAAGGATGTTGGTCACTGGTTTGAGGACCAGTGCATGTAGGGGAAATCCTTTCCTAGCAGAATCACAGACCTAATTGTTGTTGGACAAGAGTATAGCCCATTAGATTGAATGGTCCTCATCTAAATGTGCATCCGGGCTTTTTAAAAAAAAAAAAAAAACTACAAGAGCTGTGTGTACACATGTCTGAGTGACTCCAGACATGTTTATCTTCTGTGGAGCAGTCGTCATTGAATATAATCAGTAGCTTTTGTGGCTTCCTGTAGCTTCTCAGATGTTCCCATCAGACCCATTGGTGCACTGGCAGCAAAACAAAGATGAAGACAAAGACTGTCTTTCGTCCAGGGATGTGATTTTTGTGACCCAGCCAGCATTCCAGTGGGTTTGGGTGAAAGTTCTTAATTGTTTGTTACATTTTATGTCACTGACATGAGACTCTCGTCCAGAGGGCATAAGTATGAGGATTAAATATAGACTTGCCAAACCTGTTGTTCCAAAATAGGTGAACATACATTTGTTTTATCTAGAACCATTTTTGAAAAGCTATAATGAGTAAATTACATATGTTAAGTATAGGGTTTCATACATCTTGACATGTGCATGAAATTGTAACCATCATTATAATACTGACCATATCTGTCACTGTGTAATTGCTTCCTGACCTCTTTTAATGTGTCCCTGTTCTTCACAGCTTTCCTAGTAACCATGGATTTACATTCCATTTTAATAGAGAACTTGGCTTTTTAAACTAAGTAATTTTCTGCTTTAAGTTATGTTTCATAACTACTTGGAGGTTTATTAAAGATATATTAGCAACTCACCTTTTTTCTGGTAGATATTCTTATCTTTGAATATATCACCATCAGTTTGTCCATTTTATTTTATTTTATTTTTTAAATATATTTTATTGATTTTTTACAGAGAGGAAGGGAGAGGGATAGAAAGTTAGAAACATCGATGAGAGAGAAACATTGATCAGCTGCCTCCTGCACACTCCCTACTGGGGATGTGCCCGCAACCAAGGTACATGCCCTTGACCAGAATCGAACCTGGGACCCTTGAGTCCGCAGGCCGATGCTCTATCCACTGAGCCAAACCGGTTAGGGCGAGTTTGTCCATTTTAATACATATTTGGTTATTTCTAATAAAGCTGGTACAAACATTTGGGTACAATTCTTTATATGGATATAAGTGTTATTTACCTTTGTGAAAAACTCAGTGCATAATCTGAGTTTTTGGGTAGATGAATGTTTAAATTTACCGAGATTAGCAAATTGTAATCCAAATGGAATATACCACCAGGGCCTGTGTGGCTCAGGCATCATCTGGTGCAGCACAGGGTTATGGATTTGATTGCCAGTGGGGATCAGTGCCTGTGTTGTGGGCTAGATCCACAGAAGTGGGTGTGCTGCAGGCAGCTGGCCGATATGGCAGTCTTCCATCAATATTTCTCTCCCTCTCCCTTCTCTCTCTAAAAATTAGTAAACTCTTCTTTAAAAATAAAACTTGTCCTGGCCGGTTTGGATCAGTGGATAAAGCATCAGCCTGCGGACTAAAGGCTCTCAGGTATGATTCCAGCCAAGGGCACATGCCTGGGTTGCGGGCTCGATCCCCAGTCGGTGGCGAACAGGCGGCAGCCGATCAATGATTCTCCTTCATCATTGATGTTTTCATCTCTCCCTCTCCCTCTCTGAAATCAATAAAGACATATATGAAAAAAACAACATCAGTGTCTATGAGCATGTCTTCTAAGAACAGAGTGAGTCAACCAATAGCCAAGCTCTAGGATATGCTAATAAGTAATAAAGATTGCTTAAAAGTCAATAAATAAAATAAACCTTAACTGATTGTACTTTGCATTTTTCCTTCAGCTCCCTCCTGCACACCTCCTATTGGGGATGTGCCCGCAACCAAGGTACATGCCCTTGACCGGAATCGAACCTGGGACCATTCAGTCCCTAGGCTGACGCTCTATCCACTGAGCCAAACCGGTTAGGGCTGTGTTGCTATTTTTGCTAAAACACCTAATCATATCTTCGGCCTAATGTGCTATGAGTGTGGGCAATTTTCTTTAAGAAAAAGATATTGAAACAACAAAGATGGATGTTGGAATTTCACTCATTTTGTGCCAGTTTTGCTTTATGAAGTAAATGTTTTTTGTATTAGAAAAATATGTATATGTCTTACATTTTTCTTTTTATTTCTTTTTGATGATTTCAGAGAGGAAGGGAGAGACAAAGAGAGATAGAAATATCAATGCTGACAATCATTGATGGGCTGCCTTCCCCACATACACTACTGGGGACCAAGCCTGAAACCTGGACATACGCCCTAACCAGGAACCTAAACACGACTTCTGGGTTCATAGGTAGATGCTCAACCACTGAGCCACGCTAGCCAGGGTATGCGTTTTCTCTTTGTCACAACAACCTGGGAAGTCGAAACGAATGTCGAATTGCTGGGAAGGTCCGTGATTACAGATATGAAGTAGGCTCTCCAAGTTTACTCATCAAACAAGTGTCAGATCTAAGAGGCTGGGTTGCAATCCAATGTTCTGGCTCCAGAGCCACAGACAATGTCTACCAGTGCTGGTCAAGCCCGTTGGGGAGGCTCACCTGAAGCTACTGTTTGCATTGTTGAAATTTTGAATCTTCCCCTATTTTCTTAAAGTACCAGAGCACTTATGCCGTGCCCCTCCAACCCCAGAGATTTACCTCTTTATCTCCCCCCCTAATTTATCACCAGTGAATTTCATGAACCCCCTTATGTCTTCTTCTTTGAGTCTAACGTATAAAAAAGGTGCAAAACTGCCATTCTCCCGAGAATTACTCAACCTGTTGTTATTCTGTTTCTGGCAATTGGGACCAGCTTGGGCCAAATAAACTTAGAAGAATTCTCCACCTGTTTGGACATTTCTTACAACAACACCAAAAGCAATTGACTCATGGGAAGCAGGAGAACATTCCATGGAGGGGTATCAGCATTTCCAGGGACACAACTGACTGAAGATAAATTTATAAACACAAATTTAGAGCAGACCCAGAAACCAGCAAGCTAGAGCTTTCTCGTTGCTTCCAGAGAACAGAAGACAATGCTCAAGGCTCAGGTGACTTTGGTGTGTTTGTGTATTTCTTTAATCCTCACCCGGAGATGTTTAATCTCTTTTTTTCTTTTTCTTCTGTACCCTCTCTCGCCTTCTATCAGAGATTCTGCACTCTGTTCCAAGCTTCCATGTCTCTGGATCCACTCCATTCATTAGTTAATTTTGTTAATTAGGTTCTATATATGAGTGAGATCAAGTGATACTTGTCTTTCTCTGACTGACTTATTTCACTTAGAACCATTCTCTCTAGGCCCCTCCATGCTGTTTGAAAGGGTAAGAGTTTCTTCTTTATACCACTGCATAGCATTCCATGGTATAAATGTACCACAGCTTTTTTACCCACTCATCTACTGATGGGCACTTGGGCTGTTTTTAAATCTTAACTATTGTAAATTGTCCTGCTATCAACATAGCGGTGCATACATTCTTTCTGATTGTTGTTTCAGGTTTCTTAGGATATATTCTTAGAAGTGTGATCACAGGGTCAAATGGCAGTTCCATATTTAATTTTTTGAGGAAACTCCCTATGTTTTTCATAATGTCTGCACCAGTCTGCATTCCTACCAGCAGTGTACTAGGGTTCCCTTTTTTCCACATTCTCACCAGCACTTGTCATTTGTTGCTGGTAGCTATTCTGACAGTGGTGAGGTGGTATCTAATTGTTGCTTTAATTTGCATTTCTCTGATGATCAGTGACTTTGAGCATTTTTTCACTTTTCTCTTGGCCATGTTATCCACACTGCAGCCCAGGCAGAGCTGACACTTCGAATGGCATCAGAAGCAGATGCTCTTAAGTATGAGTGTCTGTTTTGTGACATTAACTATGCATAATGGATTCAATGGAGGCAGGTTAGGTGGAGTTAGAGACTTGAGCAACCTCTGCAAGCTACATTTGGCCTGAAGGAGGTAGGTGCCAAATGGCCTTAATGAAGACACAATGCCTGTCATTCACAAAGAGTAGATCTTGAAGAAAGACATGCAAAACCAGCAGTTAAGGAAGCCAGGCAGGTGCCTCAGGAATAAACTTTCCCTGATAACCCCCTCCCCTGAAGGCGCTGGAGGGCCCTGAGTATACTTGGTGTGTTCTTGGGCTATTTGCCTTCAAAACCAGTCCTGGAGTCAGCTGAGGAAATACGGGATCCTGGCCTTGGGGCGTAGAAACTACATTACCCAGAAGGCCGGGCGTGGAATGCCACCAGGCTGAGCCAATGGAAGCTCAGAAAAGGCGTTTCCGTTTTTCAAGTTTGGAGGGCGGGACCGGTAAATTTTGTTTTCGCTCGCTTTTGTCTCAGGCGGCGCACGGTCCGGAGGAGAAGGCTGGAGAGTGTTTTTCGCCGCCTCGCAGCCCGTGGTCGGAGCCTGCAGTGGTGCTCACAGCGCACACGTGGGTTTGAAGCTCGGAGTCGCCACCAGACCCGCCCAGGGCCGGGACAGGGACCGCCATTCCTGCAGCGGCTTCTGCTCCCGCCCCGCTCCGACTGCCAACTGCAATGGAGGCGCCGGTGCTGAGGAGCTGGGCTGAGGTGAGTTTGTGTCCCCCGGGCGCTCACTGCCTCTTACACCGAAAAGCACAGCCCGGGTGCAGGCGCCTGTCCAGCAGTTCAGTCCGCTAGGAGGACCGTGAGGAAGGTGGAGGGGAGAGAGGAGTGTTGTGGCTTCTGAGGACACAGCAAGTGCGGGGCAGAGAGGACGGGGGTGACTTGCATCTGAAGTTCCCTGAGGATGTGGGTGGTGAGTATTGACGGAAAGATCAGAGGCTGCAGGGAGGACGGCACAGACTCATTCGGGGCTTTCCCGGCTGTGGGTCCATCAGGGGCCTGGGGTGGGCCTGGATCCGGCTGGACTACAAGCTCTCTACACGCCATATGCCAAGTTCATGGGTGAGTCCAGCGAGATCCAGTGGCATTGGAGCAGGAAGCGGGCAGAGCTGAGGGAGTGAACCTGGGATCTGAACATGGGAAGGGGGTAAACATTACCCAGTGGTGAGCACATCTGGAGGAAGTGTGAGCTGATGGTCCCCGGGACCTGGTGTGGGGACTCAGAGGTGAAGCATAAACCGACGCTTGGCTTTGTCTTGGAGGCAGGATCTAGGAGACTGCAGTGGTGTTACTTGGCAGGAAGTCTGGGGCCCTGCAGGCATCGCCCAGAGCTTAGATGGCATTGCTCCCTCCCCTCCCCTCCCCCAATCCTTCCCACCCAACCCAGCTGCTCTGCTGAGGGCCATCACAGTGAGTAATGGGACTGTGATGAGAGAGCAGCCTGCACTGGCATTAGGGCCTGGTGTCCACAGTAACCGGGGGCCCTGGAGGAGGTTGAGGTGGGGAAGGTGTGTAAGGAGTAGCATTACTGGTTCTCAGAAAGGCAGGTCTGGTTACAATTGTCTCCATTCTGACAGGTTGGCGTGACCTTTGAGGACATTGCCCTGTACTTCTCCAGGGAGGAATGGAGCCTCCTTGATGAGGGTCAGAGACAGCTGTACCTGAATGTGATGCTGGAGAACTTTGAACTTATATCCTCGCAGGGTAAGACCCTCACTCTCACCAGTGACCTGGACTTGGCTTTTCGATTTCCCAGGGCCCATCCCCCAGGGTGTGCTCTGTCCTCCCATGTAGACTGTGGTACTGCTTGATTTTCCAGTTTCCTGGGTAGTTGCTGTCCTGGGGAGGGTTAGTGTGTTTCCGCTGCTCCCTTCTATTCCTGAAGCCCCAATACTCCCCGCTGCACTAAATTCACAGGGAAGGACTTGTGGTTGGTAGGGTTGCAGGAAGGTAAGGGATTCCACCTTGATTAACGAGGAAAGTATTTTCTATATTCCTGTTGGTCATTTGTACATATTTTTTGGAAAATTGTTTCTACGTCCTTATCCTATTTATTAACTGTATTTTTTGGTTAAAGAGTCTTTTGAATACCTTGTATATTGTACATATTAATATCTTGTTACATACTTTTTGTATGTGCTTAATTGTGCTTCTCGGGTATTACTCCCCCACACCCCCTTATTTATAAGTTCCATGTTTAAGGCAACCCTGCGTTCAGCAGGTCTAGTGCCACCATTTTTCTAGCAGGCTCAGATACTTGCTACTAGTGCTTAGCAGTAAAAGTATCTTTTTTAACTTTAAGATATGGTTTTTATTGAACATGTATAGAATTCACGTTTACATTTTATTATAAATATTTTACATTAAAAAATTAGTTTTTGTAAAAAAAAAAAAAAAAGGCAGGGGGTGGAGGGGACATTTCCTATATAAAAATGATGGTAATTCTCCAAGTATTAGAACACAATACTAAAGGAATCATTTCAATAAACATTTTTGCATAAACATGTACATGACTCCTCACACTGTATCAGATTCCACAAGAACAAATGAATGCACAAAATGAAGGTAATCCCCAACATAAGATGTATTTTTTAAAAATATATATTTTATTGATTTTTTTACAGAGAGGAAGGGAGAGCAATAAAGAGATAGAAACATTGATGAGAGAGAAACATCGACAAGCTGCCTCCTGCACACCCCCCACTGGGGATGTGCCCGCAACCAAGGTACGTGCCCTTGACTGGAATCGAACCCGGGACCCCTCAGACCCCCGGCCGACGCTCTATCCACTGAGCCAAACCGGTCAGGGCATAAGATGTATTTTTAAAAAGATAATATCAAACTGAATGTCCCCGAAATGTCTTCCTGTGCATGGGATTTGGTCAATGACTATCATCAAGAGGTGGACATACACATTTGCAAATGCAGAGCTTGTAGTCTGTGTAAATTACAAAATCTACCAGCTGTGTCTTATGGAGGAGGAGCTAGAAACCACCTACACAGCCATTAAAATATACTGCGTACATAGGGCGGAGGCAAAAGTAGGCTTATAATTGTGAGTAAGAAAAACACCAGTTTCTTCTTGTATTCTTTTTTTTTTAAATATATTTTATTGATTTTTTACAGAGAGGAAGGGATAGAGAGTTAGAAACATCGATGAGAGAGAAACATCGATCAACTGCCTCCTGCACACTCCCAACGGGGTATGTGCCTGCAACCAAGGTACATGCCCTTGACTGGAATCGACCCTGGGACCCTTGAGTCCGCAGGACGAAGTTTGGCATTCTGTCTTTTGTTGGGAGGCTCCTTGCTGGACAAAATCTCCAGGCGTTCTTGCTGGCTGAATATCTGGTATGCTTGCTTGGGTTTTGTTTTCTACTAAGCGCACAGACTGCTTTTCTGCTGTCTCCCGGTGTCCCATGTGATACTGGATCTGGTGGACCTGCTTGTGCGTTTGCTGGTACAGCGGTTCCATGTCGCCGGCCCAGCCAGGTCCAGCTCCGGCTTCCTCCGAACCTGAGTTTACTTCTTGAGTGTGTCCCTTATGGGTGCAAGGAGTTGAAATCTGCAGTTTGTTGGGTTACGCTGCAAAAGCGCAGGTGGTTCCTTTTGTGTCACTGGCACAGCTTGGGCGGGGATGTAAATTGAGTAGGGCGG